ATGCAGTCCTCTGGTTTTTCCTCACGCTCCTGCAACAGCGACTGTCACTGTCACCACCTTTGCAACTAAGTAGCAGAGACATTAACACAAGTCCAAGGAAACCTAACTGAATTCTTTCTAGCTGGAGTGTGTCAACATTACCTTAATGAATCCTGGTGGAGGTTTCTCATAGCTGCATGAAAGAAATCAGACATACAACAGCAGTAATACGTTTAATTTCCATGGCACACAGAAGAAAGAATTTAAAATTTATCCGACAACCCAGTAACCTAGCTAAAGACTTAGCGTTAGCTAAGTTAACACGGAGGTGAATTACAGTGGCACGAACAGACTGGTGCGTTAAGTCACAAGGATAATTCATGCACAAGCTTGCGAAAAGCGCCCACTAATATTACTCACAATGTCTCTACGTGTTTCAGTTTCTGGACTTCTTGGTTGAGTTTTTTTATATGTGTTTGGAGTTTCCCCAAATCCTGTTTTGTACTCTTGTGTCTCTTGTGTTCTCGTCTGTCCTCCTTCTCTCTTGTTCGCTTTCTGCCCGACATGGTTTTGATATCGACAAACTGTGCCCCCGAAAAATAATCAACTTATTAATAATGTGCCATTCAAGGATAGTTTATTTGCGTTAACTATTCTGTAGTGAACACTAGCCAACGTGCTAACCAGCTGCTAATTAACAAATATTTCTTTGGTGCTGCTGTACTTCCTGTGCAGTCGGGTTGGTTAGTGAAAGTCCAGCGCCTCCTGCAGGACATAAACAGTAACACATGAAGTGCTGCTCTTTTCTCCTGCTGCATGTTGATGTTTTCCAAAACTAGAAAAAAAGAAAGTTTCTTTATATATAACCGAAAACGCAAACAATCTATTGACTGGACATTTCTGTCTAGGTTTTTTTGGTTAAAATGTATAATATTAATTCATCTCATTCATTTGACATTTTATTTTAATATGAATTCTTAGCATCTCTTGCACAGTTTCTTTTTGGTAGGAGGAAAGGAACATTACAAAATAAAATGTCAAATGTCTGAGATTGCCTCAATTTTTCCAGTTTTTATTTTGAGATTTAAGCAATGTCAGTGAATAATCTTAAATGGTACAAAGTTAAGAAGTAAACTTCTTGGAGGTTAAAAATCAAGTCATTAAAAACTAAAATTCTAGGTAAACTTTATATAAAACTGTTTTTTTTTCAGGGATTAAGAAATAGGTTAAAGCCCATGTTTTCTGCAGCAGTGGAAGTAAATGAAGCCTTGAACAGTAATGCAAACAACTCCTGCAGATGCCCCAACTTGGATTACTCACAACAACCAGTTCTTACTGTACAAAGGCAGTATTAGAAATGACAGTGCTACTGCACCATCTATTTGGAAAAAGGCCAATAACAAAGTAAGTCAGGTCTTTTCAGGATGTTTTCCTCCAGTTGTGTAGAGGGAAAGAACAGGGCAGTTGGCTTCAAATGATGGCATAGCAGCACAGTGTCCAGATCTTCCAGATGAAGAGTGAAAACAAAAAACACATCTGTGGGAATTTATGCAACAGTGGTGTTTACCAAAAAAGTATTTGGTTTCAGTTGTAGAAAAAGTGCCACAGGTGTTTGGCTGTTTCAATTACACTATTAACAATTGGGAAAATAGAGGCAATGTCAAACTTTGTATGTTGCAAAGAATGTTTACTGTTGTGCCTCTTTTTATTTTATTGGTTTAACTTATTTTGCTTGGATTAGCAACTATATGTTACCAGATTTGTTTTACCTGTTCATTGACTTATAACTTTAATATGCTGTCTTGTATTGTTTTATTATGTATTGGAAAAAGTTTAATTTTTCCAGTATCTTACAGTTTCTTTGTTGTGGAGCTGCCAGTTGAATGTGTAAAGACTAAAACATTCCCAATAAATACAGCAGGATCCATAATTACATCTGTTTTGGTATGAAATCTGCAGTGAAGTTAACAGCAAGTCATTTTAATGCACTCTGACATCTTGTAGGAGCAAGAATAAACTGCAAAGTTTCACAGACAGAAAAAGTTTAATTTCATAGACAACGTATAGGTGGAATATAAATGTGAGGTATTTCAAGATTTAAACACATGCTGACATTGAGCAGCTCACTGGCAATCAGGCAGTACAAAATGCAGTAGGTATATTTAAATTCCTGTCTGTAACAAAAAGATGAAATAATTTTTCAAAAATACACAGTCAATGAAAATATGAGAAAAATGCAAACTGTACAGCTTATTTGGGCAGATGTGCCTAGTCATTGCAAACAGCCACTAATGAGTCCCATTTTAGAAGATAATTACAAATCTCTTCAAAAATGCAACCGTGACAGCAACATATTTACAGCATATTGGTGACATCTGTCATATTTATGTAGCTAGTGCCATCACAAATATACAGACATCTCCCCGCAGGAGAGGTCCACAAATAAAGTCAATACATAATGTACGTTCAAAGGTTACAAAGGTTTAAACAGCAAGTGGTACGAATATAAAATGCCTTATAAATTTATTATAGAAATGTATAATTGGATATTGTCATGTAAAGCAGCTGGTCACAAACACCACCACAGAACAAAGGTGGGCTTCCCTCTGATGTTTCAGCCATTTCATAAATACTGAATACCAACACATTCCACGTCAAGGCGATTACAAGAGGCATGTGCTAAATTAAAACAATAAAAACATTCTCCTCTGACAGGCTCAGCAGAGGACACAGTAACCCTGATTAACAGTTGCTACATTCAGGATTTGCAGGAGTGCCATTCCAGACAGCCCAGCAATAGCTGTGTTGGTGGGAAAAGTATAACCCTTCCAACACTGGCTTAGTAACCAAAGTTAGCCTCTTTAGTTGCCCCTTAGCCTTCGGTATAAGCAGGTTATATGGGTCTAACCCCTTGTTTTTAATAGAGTATACACCAAGACAAGATCTGGGAGACATTCAAAGTGATGAAAGAAAATCTTTTAAGCCTCCCTTCTTGCTGCCCTGATCGTTCTCTCGTGTGAGAAGCTTGCTGAGACGCTGAGCGACCCAGTTTTTAGATTTCAAGGGAGGCTTGGAGGAAGACGAGCCTGATCCTGAAATGTTCGAGGAGGTGGTGGACCTGGAAGGAGAGAGAAAAAGAGCAAGTTGGGGAAGGAAGGAAAAGAAATAGAACGTGGGCGAGAAATTAAAAATTAAGACACAGTAACAGTAAAAGTATGCTGCCATCAAGTATATGATCTGGCAAGCCCGGATAGCAGCATGTAGCATAGCTGCATTTGTCTTAACGCTAAATAAACAGAAACCTAATCATTAGAATACCAGCATGCCTGACACATCTCCCTCTGGGACATCTGAGACACCTACCGAGTTTAGGCAAGGAAGGTTAGATCTTGCGCTTTTAGCTCAGGAGATTGAATCACTTACCGAGGTGTGTGAACAGGTGTCTTGTCTTTGCCTGGATTCCTGGGGGTGTTCCCGCTGGATCTGCTGGTTGACTGCAGCGTTCTGTGTTTGCCAGCACTCCCTGGTGTGCTGTGGGTCTTGGTTAAGGTAGCTATAAAGTCCCTGTTCATTCCTTTGTGTCTTGATGTCTTATTGCAAGTGTGGCAGGTGGCCATCTGGGATAAGGAGAGGAAAGAAGCATATTCATTAATATTGCATGTCCTGCATTACTTTCATACATAATAAGGTTTTGCAGTGAAGCCATACAAGGTTTCCCTACTAGAATACACTGCAAAAACTGGCAGGTTTCCTGAAACTGCTCCTGTATAATACCAAAATGTCAACCAACTGATATAAATCTAAGATGAGGATGAATCTTTTGTCATTCTAGTCATTCTTCATCAAACCCAGTATTGCCACAGCTAACTGGGTCAGTCTGTGTGGGACACAGTTTGCTGCGACTTGGTCTGGACATCTATTGCAGTGACAGAATGACTTCAGGGACACAGAGCACGACTAGCTGCATTTGCAGCAGGGAAGGGGGCTGTAATGAGTGCTGCTCATGTGCATTGGTGACGCAGGCCAGCACATGTACTGCCATCTCACAGCTGAGGAACAGTTCACAATGAAGTCCTGGACACAAAGAGATGAGTCGCTTAGCAGCTGAAGCGCTTCCCATTGGCCCTGCCAAACATCACTGAGGTTATGTTACAACTGAATGTTTGGGCAGGTATGAAAATAACTGGATTAGTTAAATCAGGGTGGGAAACTTTGACTTAAGCCAGGAGGAGCTGTTGCCATACAGTTTCACTTATTCAGAGCATTGATGCTAAGAGCACTGGCCAACTTTTTCCATCAAACTTTATGAGCAGTTTTTTTTTTGTTTTATTAACTACAATTACTCTGACACTTCAGCTAAGTTGACTCATGAGATCAATTCAAACCAGTCTGACACTGATTATCCATTGCATGCAAACAAAGAAATTTGAGACCCTACATAAGGAAAACCATGCAGACCCCCATGATTCAACAATTGGCAACTGTCCCGGTAAAATAGGTACGGTATAGTAACTAAACCATGACAGTGAAGAACTACAGTATGCGCATGTCACAGGGTGCACATAGGGAATCAATCAGTGAGGACTAAATGGAGCACAAATTCATAGTTTCACAAAAGGAACATTATCTCTACACAGATAACAAAAAGAAATGGTATGCTAATCACTACAATCACTTTATATTTATTTCATTTGGCAGATGTTCTGATGCAACAGATGTCCTGTATTCACAAGTAAGACAGCATCATTAGATCAAGTGACAGCAAAAATTAGGAAACAACCAATTATATCATCCCAGTGATGATCTGAACCGTAGTACAAGACCAATTATACGGATAAAGTTTGTTTTGTTTTTTTGCCAGACTAAGAGGCTTCAGCAAACTCCAATAAAGAGTGGAGCTCTTGAATAGAAGAGCCACTGACACTTTCTGCCTGAAGAATATTTACTCAGTAGTACAACAGTACAAAGCCATTTAGTTTTAAGGACTCTTCTCTAACGTCGGTCCCAGCTGTTAGTAAAGAAAATCCCATCAATGGGACAACTCTTTCAGAGCCACACAAGTTTAAAGCTGGTCCCAACAAACCACCACTGCAGAGATCAACAAGTCTGAACCAAGCTGTTAACAGTCCTGATTTCTGATGAGATGAAAACTCACCGACACGAAGGTCGCCATTTCAGATACTGACAGTTGTCTGTTGGAGAGTCGGATTTCGATCAGAGTTCTTCTGTCTTTTTGTGTGACTGCATGCCTGGCTTTATACAGACCAAGACAAGCAACTGACCCACCCTTCTTTGCACAGGGGTGTGGCAAAGGAGGGCTGACCAATGCACTGACAGGAGGGCTGACTAATCTGTGGGGCAACAGGCACTCTGCTGCAGTGACACTTCAACCCAAACTAGAATCATCCAGATACATCACTGCCAAAGCAAATATACTTTACATACACACACACACACACACACTGCTTCTGCACACTTTTGAATCAGCTGTGCTGATTTAGATAAAATAGGAAAACTAGAGTAAACTAATACACTATGGAAGAAGTCAGCTGGAAACTATCAAGCTTTTCCTGCACATAATGCACATATGACATCTTTCCAATTACCACCACATTCCTGTTTATACCATCTATCCAGGATAAGGATGAGCAGTTATTATGCAGCACACACTTTACTTGCTTTGAACCTTTCCATCACTACCTCCTGCAGCAATTACTTAGTATCCTCCTGTAGCTCACTAGAATGTCACCTAATCAAATATAAACAGAATGCTGATGTCAAACACACTAACAAAAACAATTATCCCCAGTTATATATATAATGCTATAATCTCAACTGAAATGCATACTGTATGTTATCAGGTCTGTGGAAATATGGCTGACAGCCTAGATTTTACTGAAGCTGAATTTCTGGTTCACCATAAGGTCAAAGGAAGCAAGTATGACTTGTGATTATAATATTAAGATGAAATCTGCCATGCAAGAAACAGTGAACAGAAGTCTACCTCTTTATATATTGTCACACTGGGAATTTCTGCCCTGCTACATATGCATGCTTATGTTTGTTTCTCACATTAACTTTGGCCACATATATCACAAATGTTTAGCTCTTGGCAATCATGCACAGAATGTCAGCACCTGTTACCATCCCCTAAAAAATAAACACAGACAGCATGCGATCATTGTATACCTCATAAACTGCAGCTATTTGTCTCCTTTTGAAGACAGAATAAACCTTTATGAGCTTTAAGACATGAATGCGATCTAAATTTACATTCATGTCCAAGAACAATAGCAGGAGCTTTACTTTAGTAAATCACTGACACGAGAGTTGACAGAATTGGCAACAGTCACTAAGCTTTATACGGTGGAGCTGAAATGGTGCTCTGTTGACCACCATCATCACAAATATCATCAGTTCTGACAATTAGAAAGGAAACTGCATGTGATATTGTGAAATAACACAAACACACGTGGATCCACATAAATCAATTCTGCAGACTCCGTTCTATTAATAGCTCCTGTTCCATAAATACCTTTCTTGCTGCCTTTCCCTCTGCTGCCAGAGGTCACTTTGGGTTGACTAATCTGGTTTTGGCAGTACGACACACTCAAGAGGAGAAAGATGAGTAGAGTAACAGAATTAGGTGCTTAAAAGGGCTGAACTGAACATAAGCCTGGCAAAATGTATAAGTGCTCAATGGTGACTGAGTTTCCTATGTGTGCATGCGTTCAAAAGAACAAACATCTGCCCAGTCTGTGAAAGTCATTTTAGAACACGTCAATACAACATAATAAAGCTGAAAGCAAAAGAGCAGTTGGGGGATCAATACAAAACAAGCAGTGTAAACCTTCTTCTAAACCACGGCTTTGCACTGTGGTGCAGGGAGCCACTTAGTCACACTGTGGAGGCAGGCTGCCCGATAAACACAGACACCGGATCTGAATGGAGAGCTGCTGCACGCTGCCATTTAAAACGATGTCATCTCTGTTTCTTTCTCTCTCTCTCTCTCTCTTCCTGTCTCTGCTGGTGGTGATACATTTGATTCTGCATCACAGCAGCAGCAGGTTCACCAGAGGCTGGAGGAAAGACATCACTGATGATTTATCATATTGTCCTCAACAAGCAGGATTTCTTCACGTAGCCAGATTAGATAAAAGAATAATGCTTTGGGTCATTCATTTCAGTAAATTATTTATGAGATCTGATGAATGTCTGGAACCTATTCAATTTGAAGTGTCTAGATGAAAACCAAGTTTGATAAGGTTATTTCAGATTAAAAAATGCCATCAGATAAAGTGTGAGAACAACTGCTTCTGGAAATCTTCCAGGTATAATGTGTGGAAGCGTCATCCACCACCACCGCCACCAGAGTCTGGTTCAAATCTAAAAAGAGAGATCTCAAAAATGTAGAACCTTTCCAATGACTCAAATTTAATCTCCATTCCTTATAAGCCGAGACACCAAAGAGTTACATCTTTGGCGCTGTTATTAGGTAGGGCATGCATACACGATTGCCTGAAGAATGGAAGGTGGGGAGAGGAGAAAGATCTGAGTGGGCAGGGGGCACTCAGGTAGATGAGTTGAGATAAAACACCAGAGAAAAGAAGTGAGGGCGATCGAAGAGTGTGAGGAAGAAAAACAGGAATAAGAGGATGAGAGGTGGTCAGTGAGGTCAAGAAGTGCTGACAAATTATGTCATATCAGAGAGAAACGACTGTTCTGGGAAAAGGAAGAAATTTTCCAACCATTTATGCTCTGTCACTTTGTTTTTCACATCTGGTTCATCCATTATTCTGAAGTGCTGCTTTCAAGAGCAAAACAAGTGTAATTTTCAGAGAATGTGATTACACCTGATGTTTTCCAGGTGAACTGCTAGGTGGAATTGCCCGCTGTTGTCCTAGTATAAACCAGTGTTGTTTAGGCATAAGTTAACCAACAAAACAACATGAATATACATGGCCAAGGAAAAAACAGAACTCTATAATTGATTTTTCTTGTAACAAAGAACTTTGCTTGGAAGTATAAACATATACTCAAGGAGGGTAAAGAGAAGAAAGGAGGAGGAGTGTGCTCTCCTTCGCTCCATTTAGGGTGTCTGCCTCACCACAGTCCAACTCATTTCCATATCCATTTCTAGATAACCTGCCCCACATACATAAACATACCTGATTTATAATACCTCCAAGACATAACTTCACAGAGCTGAGGAAAGTAGATCATGCGCTTTCAACCACCCTGAGGGCAGCACCCTAAAGCAGGAGCATTATGGCCTGAATTACAGGGGATTTACACCCTTGTGTATAAAATATTACACACCGCGCTGTGTATGAGTGTATGTATGCATCTACTGGCAAAGCGTTTCTCTCTGTCAGATGTTTTATTTTAGTCAAGACGCATTTCCTTCAGTTTAACACAATATACTGACCAGCCATAACATTGTGACCACTCACAGATGAAGTGAAAAAAGTAGGCACGATGCAAATTGTTCGAAAAACAAAAAAGCTGGAAAGACATCATGAAGGCAATGTGGCCTGGAGAAACAACCTGAACTTCAGATTTAATAAAAACATTTAGCTCTTCAAAGTGTCCCACGACACATTGCTGGAAAGAACATTAAGAACACAAGCAAACCTGCATCTGCAAATAAACACAAATTGTTTTAAATAAACATCCGTCTCACACCACACGCATAAAAAGGCATGAACGTGAGGATAAACTTATACAACGATGTGTTTTGCTTATCTCTCCAATAAATTCTCCCACTTCCTCCTGGGGGTGTCACATGACTGACAGTAAGAATTGTTGGATACCGTGTACACAGTCATAACACTGGCACACTGAAGTAAAGCAATAAAATGATGGAACACTAACAAGAACCAAATGAAAGCTTCATGGTCACTGTGACTAATGACCTTGCTCAGGCTGTGTTCGACATATATGGACAGCGTGTTTTATGCAGTAAAATCAACAGGAGCTTCTTCTGAAAATGACTCCCACGGTTGCTGTGTTCTGTTCACCAACATGAAGCCAGGGACGCAAAAAAGGGAAGCGCTCTACACTCCCACTCTTATCTCTTTGCTCCACCGCATTGTAAGGGTTCCTGTTCTTACAAACATTATGAAAGAAGTGTCAGGACAGAGACGTCCGCCTCTTTCAACTCTTCAGACTTAGCTGTATATTAGCATGCTAGCTTTAGCATTGGTTTTGTCATTTAGTTCAGTTTGTTTTTAGTCCCAACTAATTACGCCCTAAAATTGGTTGGTGGTGTGAAATCAATTGCAATTTAGTGATGAACAAATTTGACTTAGTAAATACTAATGTTAAAACTGGGTTAAAGCTCCATTCAGACAGAATTTCTTTCTCTACCTGGCAGTATTTACAGTTGCATTAACCCACTGTCTGGGAACTTGCTGGTCCTCCTGTGTTTTTAATCCCAAATTGTCTTTGTATTCTAAACTGGCTCCCTATGTTTTATCCATGTGAAGAGACGCTGGTCCTTTTACCTTTTTAAATTAGCAGTTCACTAACAAATTTGGCTTTATGTGAAAAGGGAGTAAATAAAAAATGGTTTTGCTAATATGATGTAAATAAAGTACTTTAAATTCAACATATGTAAAAGTTTGGTGACTGCTGCAAAACAATTCAAGCCATCAGAAAAACAAGAGCTCATCAAACCCCATTTTTAGATTGTCCTTGTTTACACTGCAAACTGGCACCATTAAAAATGTGATGAAACAACAGTTCATGTTATTGTATAATACCATTGGGTTGTGATGATTCTCAGGTAAGTTCTGAAGCGTCTTTTTCAGATTTTTAAGCAGATTTACGAATGTTTATTTGTGATATAAATCTGAGATAATTATAACCGCACTAAATGAAAGTCACACTCAATGGTATCAATATGGCATCTTTCACTATGCGCCTCCCTTATGCTACTGAGCATACATTTTTAAAAGTCTACATGACATGATACCACAGCACATTACATATATCATTATTAGTGCTTTGGCACAAACCTACAAGGTCCCTCAGATCTTCAAGCCAGTTTCTTTTAGAGGTTCCCAGGGCCAGATATAAATGTTGGGATGATCGTGCTTTTACTGTTGCAGCCCCTAAATTGTGGAATAGTCTACCTTTTAATGTTAGATCAGCTCCTGACCTCATTACTTTTAAATCATTGCTTAAAACATATTTATTTGCCTTGGCTTTTAACACCCAGTAGGGCCTGATGCATTCCTTTTCATTTTAATTTATTGAATGTGTGTCATCTGTGTGTCTGTGTTATTGTTTTAATTTTGCACTGGATCTATTTTATTTTAGTTATTCATCGTGATTTTATTCTGTCTATGTAAAGTACTTTGGTCAACTGGATGTTGTTTTTAAAGTGCTATATAAATAAATTTGACTTGATTTGATTTTAAGTTACACTAAATTACAGTATATCCCACAAACTTCACTTTGGTGAAGCACCAAGTCATATTTTTAGCAGGATATTGCTATTGTTGAGACTGTAGCTACATTCTTACATTTTAGGCAAATTTAGATACCTACAAACATTATTAGGAATCAGTGGAAATAAAAGTTTTCAGTTGGTTCCTTATTTCATCACTTGTACCTGAACTGACTTTCAGATTTTAAAATAATTTTCATGGTTTTTAAAATGTTATAGGCTTTGAATAGAGAAAACAAGCCTGGAAATGTAGTTATCAATTTCCAAGCTGCCCTGTCCATTGTTTATTAACTATACTATAGTGCTAAAAGGCCCTATAATAGACCTTTAAGATTTCATGACCACCTCCACCATGTAGATTCTCTCAAATCACTGATGACTTCCCTATCTAACCCTAGATCTGACCTCTTGAGCCACTCTCTCATACAAAATGAAACTACATGACAACTTTTCTCTTCCAGTCCATCATACAACTTCTGTTCATCTTTCTTATCCATCTTCAACTCATGTGGCCTTTTTTTAACCTGTTTTCTGCTTCACCCTCCTGTGATATACCTCTCTCACTAGCTTTTTAATTCCTGCTCCATCTCTCCATCTCTGTCTGCTTCCTGGACCCCAGAGTCAACAGATATATAATGGAGAGTGGGCTCAGGGTGCCTTGTGTGGTGAACGCCTGCATACTAAATGAAACCAACCAGATTTTAATGAGGTAGCAGCATTTCCACTAGAACTGCTATTCATTAGACTGATGTCAGGTCACTAGAGGGGCTCTTCAGTGGTTCACTCCTATCAGTGCTCTCTGATGCAAAGGGAAAATGCCACAAGCTCAGCCACCGGTCTCTTCATCTAAATGGGCTCATCAGTAGAGTAGGTGGGTGCTAGCAGCTTTCCATTTTAGCCCATTAGGTGGACCAACAAAAAGGACCACTGTAACAATTTAGGGGGCTGCAGGAGGAAAAAAGGGTGGATGTTGGCAAAGCCCTGTCTGGCAACATTAGTTCTCTTCCATTCAAGCTTAATGAGACCACTGTAAAGGCTGTAAAGATGAGAGGAACACCACAATGAAACCAGGCTCTTTCTGTGGAATCAGTACAAATTACTTCATCAATCTAAAGAAACCACAATACATTCAGAGGCCACATAAAGCTTGTTAAGTTATAATAAATAATAATGTCCTCTGTTTTTGAACACCACTTGGGAAATTCCTCTGTCTTTCCTTCTTCATAGGCCACAGATCAACACCAGCTAAAGACTGAAGTCATTTTCACACAAACTCTGGACTATGTCTGCCGAATCAGGTCCAGGGTTGTCCTTTCACACATGTAGCACAAAACAGGGGATAGTCCTTATCAGACGAGTTCCCACCCATCTACTATTGCTGTAACTGGCATTTGTCTGACAACTTTAGCGCTGGCTCTTAACAAGAGAAGTTCCCAAATCTCATTGTGTCTCCAATCAGATATTTTCGTTGATGTCTTCATAGTAAATGATTGTTGTTCTTCACCATCGGATGTCTGTTTTCTTCCGGTTTCATGCTGACCACATAATACACCCACTGGTGTACACTAACATTGCCCTTTAACTCCAGGATTGTCACATACACACCACTATTACCAACAAAATGTGAAAAAATTGAGTCTATAAAGCACACAAATTACTTAAGGTGAATTAGAAACTGTGACATGACATTTTATCCAACAGCTCCAATATTATTCCTAAAGTCAGGCTATTAAAAAAAAAAAAAAAACACGTCACCATCCTAATGTTCATACCTGCCCTTAGCTCAACAGCACTATAGCAGACAGCAACACATTAGACATATAGCAGTGGGGTGTTTCTGCAAGGACATTATGCTGCAGTGCAGTACGATACATAATACTGTCTGTGGGACTGTAGTGTTATGTCTTCTCACCAGCACTGAGGAGTCCTTCTGGAAGCGATGCAGCAGATTTCTCTGCACCAGGGTGAGATGTTTGCCCCGGGCTTTTCTGCACAGCACGCTCTGCAATCGTGCTGATGGACGCTTCTTGGGCCTCAGCCGCATCCGGTGATTGTCAGGCTGCAGCCACTGATAACAGTATGGACACACCAATGTGTTCAGAAACACACCGGGAGATTTCTGCTCCTGTGGTGCTGAAAAGAGGAGTGAGACAGATGAAATAAAACCCATCGGCAAATACTTGGGTACAGTCATTCTCGCTTCTTTTCAACATACAGTACTACCAAGCAAAGTGGAGGAAATGTATGTAATGGTGAGAGTGGGATGTTTTGTTATCTCATAGCTTATTAAACAAAGAAGCAAAGACAGATCTGTTTAAGGCAGGTAGTTGAAAGATCAACATTTTAACAGCTACATAATAGATTCTCTGCTAAAACTGTGCTCAAACATTCCAACATCCCATCTTTCTATAGGCACAAAGAAACAAGCTACATTGTGATATATTTGTCATTCCCAAATAACATTTTGGAACATTCCATGCTATTTAGAGGAGGAAAAACATAAACACCCTAAATGGCACCGCCACCTACTGATGTGGTTTTAACTGGCATGCGTCTGAATGTGGGGAATTGTGTCTGATCCCACCTGGTGTTCTGCTACAGACAACTCTGTGTCTCAGTGTGTTTGGCTGAGCATTTAGTGAGGTTTATTAACCTTGACAAGGTCCCGTTTACTACTTCACAGTGTGGCTACTACACTGTAGTAAACATGCAAAAATGAAATCATAACAAAAATTATAAATGAACAGGGAGTTTCTTCAAGGACACACAAGGCTCTTAACTTACCATTAGCATTCACAGGCCACTGCCTAGAGAAGGAGACAAAATCAGACACTTTAAACACACACTTAGAACACCTCCTTTCACATTTGAATGTAAAATTTTATCATTCAGTGAAATAACCTGGTGTGTTTAACAATTCTGTTAAAATACACCAATACAAATCCACCCACCACCAATTATGTGTAGTGGAAAAATGCAACTGGAAAAGCAGATAGGTATCTCACAATCTATAAAAAAAAAAACATATCAGAAGTCTCCCCCTCACAGAGTTTCCCCAGTGACTACTGCAACTGGCCCCAGTTTTGGACCTCTCGCAGTGAGCTATTGGGGCAAACATTTTAACTAAGCCTCTGCTAAGTCCCACTAAAATTAGCCATGGGCTTAAATCAATGAGAGGAAATTTGTTGTTTGGC